AAAAAAAAAAAAAAAAAAAAAAAAAAAAAAAAAAAAAAACACTGACTGAAAGACGGACTTGTCAGGAGATAACAAGATACAGGGGTTGCTATGACTACAGCCCCACACACTCTCACACAGACACGGTATTCTCCCATCGTGCACCGCTTCTTCCCACGCTGCCTTGCTAATGGGTTCCAGAGCCCACCGCTTAGATCTTCCATCACTGCTGTGGACGAAGGCTTACGACAGAAATGCATGAGCTTTCAAACACGTGTTGGGCTGCTAGAGCAGAAAACGTCGAGCAGTTATTTCAGTGCCTGTTAAATTAGTGGAATGTGCTTGCGTCAGTTCACACGTCATCTTCTTGCACCGTGAACAGGATGCCATGGCAACTACATAAATAGCTCGGGTACATCTTAAATAACCAATCAGTCAATGAAAACCCTACACTTGAGCCCCGCCACTTTCCGCCCCCTCTCCTCCAACTTGCAGTGGAGCTTTCAGCGGAAGCTGCGGTTAGATCGGAGCATCATCAACAAGTCCAACTGGACAATTTATCACCATTATTTTATTTAGAGAGAATTCAAACAAGTTCTTAATCAATTTAATGAGCAGCAAACTGCAATGAATGCCTCACTGTGTGAGCAGGTGCACATCTGAAATTAGTACCAATATAACTTTCATCAAATGAATTTCAGTAATCACTTTTATGTTCTTTGAGGCTTTTCCCTGCTTTTAATTCCACATTTTAGGAGAACTTGTGAATGAGTTAAAAATCCACCGAATCTTATTCCAGGTCTTGCTTTTATAGCTTCAGCCGTCATTTCTGCTAATTATGATAAACCGTGTGTATTCCTGAGATATGATATAGTTCTACCCTTAAAATGAATTCAATCTAGGTAAGAGATTGCTTAGTTACAGCTGGGGATGGTCTACAGTTTTGTTATCACCATTAAAACTAATGTCAATAGCAGATGCATAATGTGTTTTGCTCTTGCCAATGACAAATCTCTACAGCACAGAGGGAAAAATATTAGGCTGTGTATGTATAGACAGAAGAGCCTGGTTTGTAAAATGTTGCACATTTACAACAGCTTACTTGGTTATTTTTAGTACTGCTCACCGTTTTTAATTTTGTATAATGTATTGCTTCATATAAAGCAGACCTGATCACTTGTTTCTGTGTTGGAACACCGAGTTACGTCACCTAAATCTCAGGACCTTTGTAAGAGGTGTCATTACCACATATAAACAGGAACAATAACCAAAGGACAGATTGAAAATAAGTCATTTAGTGTCATTAAACTGAGCCTTCATCCTGTGAACAATTTAGAAAGCACACACACACACAGACTGATCGCTCTAGGTGAAAAAGCGAACAAACATAGAAGACATGATACTAACAAATGGGCCGAAACCTCGCATTGGACACAGTTGTTAAGTGAAACGTGGGCATCTGTCATTTAAGTGTTTTCTGCTCTGCCTCTGTTCCCCTGACTCGTCATTTCATCTCCTTTCTGCACTGAGTGGTAGAAACACGACTGACAAGTATTCCTGGGGAGCGATGCTGAGGGAGCAGCAGAGCTGCTGATGGACACATCCTGAGGACATGTGTCTGCATCAGGTGGGCTATGAGACTGGGTCACGACCTTGTAATGGGTTTAAGGACATGCTGACATGTGTGGGGCTAATGGTGCATAGAGACTAGAGGAAAAAACAAATGGAGAAGGTAGAGTGAGTGGGAGTGTGTGTTCCAGTATGTTGTGCATGAGAGCAAACTGTGAGGATGTCCATTTCAGCTCCTGTTTGAAGTATGTGTGTTACTTTATGCCTGTCAGATGGCCAGTCTAAGCACCCGTGGGTGGGTGCTGTATGTGCCAGTCTGTCTCGTTGCTCGGCACTGCAGTGGGTGACGTGACTCCTGTGCTCCTCTCCACACTGCAGCCTATGCACGCTCTCATACCTAGCTTCTTTCGTCTGCCCCCCACCCCCAAGTTTTTATCTGTACCCTGTAGTTTTCCCCCCCATTGTTCCTCTCCCATGTCTGCCTTCAATCCTCCCCACTCCTCTCTCTGCACTCATCTCTCATCCACCGATACTTGAGCCCATTGATTTGCAGTCTGAATGGGCCAGTACAGGCAGATATCCTACAGCGTGACCTTGCAAAGCCCAAAGGAGAGGTGGGGCGGAAGTGGTGGGTGGAGAGGTAAATAGGTAGGAAAATATGGGTCTGGGGGTGGGGGAAATGGAAAGAGGTGAGGAATCTAAAACTGAAATGAATGGATGAGAATCCCTCTGGGAAACTTGGGGCAGCTCAGATGCATACAGATTGGCCTGCAGTCGAACATTTCTGATTAACAATCTCATAGGAACAGAGCAACTGCATCAGAAACTGAGTCACACCTGCCATTCAAACTTAGCTTTACAGTAAATTTGACAAAGCTGGTCACGTGTCACCACATGTTAATATCAGCGGACTGTGAAGAAGAAAATGCAGTCACACTGTACAGTTTACTGCTTTCAAGCTCTCTGTGATTAAAAGAACCTTTCAGAATAAAAGGTCAGCAGAATTCTCAACAGGCTCCAAGTGCTGATGCAATATGACTAATTTCATTCACAGTGACTTAAGAAAGAATCCCTATGAAAATGTGCTCAGATGCATTTCATCATTAGAGTGAAGTGAAGTGGTGTTCTGGGTCCATGACCCCGAAAAACCAACGCTGATGTGACACCTTTTATTTTTATTGAGCAAAGAGATGACAGGAACAGTTCAATGCCATATGTATATGAATGTAAGAGAAAGAGGGTTAGACTGATTTATTAGGGTGATGGGATGTGATTGCTGGACTTGCAGGTAGACCAAGGAATGTAATATAACACGTGTTAAAAATCAGGGTGTCACAAAAACTGTCTTAAGTGATGACACGTTATGAGTTCCCACTAAAATGGTATCTGGTATTTTCCAGGTGTTAGAGACACTGGATTACACCAACAACACCAACATGTCAAATGTTGGCATCAAGTGTAGATGCATTGGCAGCACTGCAGCTTAAACATCCTGGTGGATTTGAGCCAGGTCTGGATGGTGTGCATTAGAATGATTTACATGCAGTCAACTTCAAAAGTGATATCCTTAACAAAGAATCGTTGTTGTTTTAATGTTTTAGTCACTATACCATTAATTATGAGGCACAGATTAAAAAGTGAAGCTGTGGTGTATTAGATCCATCTCTGCACACACAAGGAGAGAGATACTGAATCCTTGCCTGATGATTTCATTAGATTTTTTCACATTTGATGCAACACACCTCCACCTCTGGGTGACTGCACAGGAGGCCAGGTGGAAGGCCACCTGTCTGCAAACAATTGCAAACAGTTACTCTCAGACAGTTTGGCAAAGGTTTACAGAGGAGCACCACCCATCTGCAGTGTTTCTATAATACAGACAATAGGGGACTCGACTCAACTGGTTCCACTCCTGTATAAAAGCAAGGCTGTCGATCATGATGTCATTTTGCCGTTACATTGTTGTCCTGTAACAACTACCTCATCATTGTGGATGGTTACGTTTACATATCTTAAACACATATTACACATGTAGAGTTAGACACACAAGGTAAAAGTAGGCTAATGAGATGCATTAGCCAACTTAACAGTTGTAGTTTCGCACAAAAACAGCAGGCCACTGGGCTTGTAAGACTTTGGATCTGGAGAAAACTAATTGTGAGGGTGACTTAATTCAGCAATTGACCCTTAATATTACCACATTGTTAAAATTTTACTGTTATCATTGGCTAAATGTGCTGTAGTGCTGCTCTTCACAATGTTAGCCAAGTCCTGCTCACTAAATAGTCTACTGTCAATAACAGAGCTGAAATAACATAGGATTTCTAAACATAAAAATATCTGATGATTATCGGTCACTGTTCATATTTTCAGCTGTAGCAGAATGTTTAAGTGAGGAAACTCTAAAATCCTTCCCACACATCTTTCAGATTTTTGGATGCAACTCACTCTGCAGCTTTCTAAAACAGACAATAAAACACAAGTCATAACCTCTTCTTACAGGAATTGGTGAGCAATCTGGAGGTGAGGAAGGAAGCGGGGGTTGACCTTCACTCCAGTTCTTTATGTCCCAAAATAAATACATTTTAAAAAAAGAAAAAGAAAATAGAAGCCGGTCAGTCTATTCCAGAAGAGACTGAAAATTTAAGCTACTGTAGCAACTGTCCACGTTCAGTCCTACCCAGACCAGAAGGGGAAACCCGGTCATGCTCTCCATTAACTTTTTATTGAGCGAAGGTGGCTACTTGACAATTCTGTGTGCTAGCAAAAGAAAAAAAAAAAAAAGTGTGTGGTCAGTTTTACACACACACAAAGACCTGTTCTTCCTGCTCAGGCACTACAGCATGAAGAATGGGGAAAATAAAGGATCCTAACCCTGTCTGACGACATGTGTAGCAACCATGTTGTCAATGATAACTCAAAGATCTAAATGTTAGTTTTGGGCCACGACTTCCAAGTAATCAGATGGTGTGCTCAAAAATGCAACATCATACAACATAAGATAAAAACAGACAGACACTACAATGTGCTGAAGTTACAGCACAACTTCTGATTTATTACTCCATGGTTATCCGTCTATGATTGCAACTCCTGACGTGTTTTTTGATTTAAACAGCCCAAGCAACTACCGATTATTCACAATCCATAACTCTAACTTTAAAAAAAAAAAGCCATCAATCCATTTTCATATCCATGCCAATCACTACATCACCCCTATACCTTGTGTATACATACACAAGCTCCTGTATATCCTTCCTGTGGAGTTACCCTCACCACTGATGATGCAAGCCAGTGTGGAGTTGAACCAGAACTGTGTAGCTCACTGCGATGATAAATGTTCCCTCACAATAAAGCATGTACATGCTGCTCTCATAGCAAACACAACAATGCAGTTGCTGCTAGTCAAAGACTGGATTTACATAATGTCAACAAAACCTGCCTTTTATCATCACGAGGTGGATTAATTCATTCAACAGCTTGTACAGAAACAAAAGATCACGTGGTTTGAAATCTGTGGCTGGGATTTTCTCTGCCTTCTACAAATCCAGTCTTTAGTTATTTACCAACAAAGCTAGGCAGCACATACATTCCTATAGGCTCACACCCCCTTCATCTCCACGCTTCTTACCATCTGCAGTCTGGATGTGGTAGCCTTCTCCTCGGGCTGGCTTCACCTCCAACAGCTGCATGGTTCGGTCCAGTAGGCCGTGGATGACCTCAAAACCCGGACTCTTGTTGTAGTAAACAGCACAGAAACGTCGGCTGTTTCTCGCCCCAACATCTGGGTGGAAGGATGAGAGACATAAGTAACAGTTTCTACAATAAAGCTAATACACACAATTCAGTATGCCACATTTTAGGGTTTTTTTAATCCTTTATATTTATTAAAACATTCATCGACCCTTCTTTAAGTAAATCTATCAACTTCAACTACGATTCCACTTGATCTAATTTGTAATGTTTAAGAAAGTTTTCATCTTTCCAAAACTGTACAACTCTACATGTAAGAAATTTGTCTCCATCACTTCAGATTTGTTGACGCCTACCTTTGGTCTCATCCTTTAGCACCACGTCTGATATCTCAAACAGTTTAAGGGGAAGTGGCATCTTCCTGTTGGCTGCTATGGTTTTCAACAGACCTGGCAGCAAGGTGGTGCGCGCCACCTGGTGGGGAAAAAAAAAACAAAAAAAAACGGGTCAAGCTGGAAACAGGCCTGCAGTTCCTTATGGAGGAAGAGGGCGCCCTCTTATGGAACAATCACAGTACAACATTGTGCTTCTGATTAGTTCTCAACTTCTCAAAATCATCCCAGCATTAAACGTCTTTACCTTCTTCATTTTAAACTTAAGGAGATACATTTTTAAAATGCACCTATAAACATTATTTGGAGTTGAAACATTTGTACAGATCATTACACAGACAGTGAAATGAACACCTGCAGATGACATGCTGAACATTTACGAATTTCACTGCAGCCTGTTGTTTGCAGTTTACTGTACAGTGTAAATATCCAATCACATAATAATCTAAAAAGACCAATTAATGCTCAAAAAAAAAAATAAAAAATCTACTCTTTAAGTTACTTTGAGGATAAAAATGTGACTCTCTCTTGTGTTTTTTAAAGGCCCAACACACTTCACCATTTCATTTTTGTCTCTTTGTTTGACTGTATATTACCTGGAACTCAGCAGTCTTGGGGTTGGAGATATGAACTGCCCTCATCTCCGAGATCTTCTTCCCAAGCTTTTCTGCAATATCTTCTTGAGAACACTAAAGAAAGAGAAGATGAAAAAATTTGAGGATTTTTTTTTTTTTAAAGAGAGACAAAAAAAACCAAACACCCTGAACAAACAAAAAAAACCCAAACCAAGACAAAAGTTATGATTTTTTTTTTACCAGGGCAAAGTTGAGGGCCTCTGTAAATCCAGCGGCTGCCAGGTCTTGCCTCAGCAGCTCTGTCAGTTTATTAAGTGGGAACTGTGAACAAATACATAAGAATGCACATGCTTGATTAGACACACTTGATTGTTTAATTAACTCAGCATTTGCTTACAGTAATGCACCATGTATAGAAAACAAGCAAAGTCAGCTACCTGGTTGGCTACAGTGTAGGTGCGTGGGGTGGTGCGGGTAATGTTGTTGAAACCGTAGGCAATGGCGGCGTCCTCCATGATATCGCAGGCGTGGATGATGTCCGAGCGAGTGGGTGGGATCTCGACCTCAATCTCATCACCGACGCCGGTAGCCTGGGAGAGCAGGCACATCCTGGTCAGCAGGTGAGCAATTTTCTCTGTCGATTCACTGTCAGGAGAGGGGGGGGGAAAAAAAAAAGTGAGCCTTTTCATGTTACTGAACGTCCGCTGACACCAAGCATGAAATGCTTTAGTACCAAGACTCAAATGCAGAGTGTGAGTATCATTTTAAGAACATATACTAATAAACTGATCTGAAACTTTTCAATGGAAAGTAAAAAAGTTCCCACTGGTCCCAACATGGATTTATAGTCTGACAGAGTGGAAAAATCTGTTCATCAACAGTTAAACATATGTTTGAAATTTGGTACGATGTGATAAATCACTGATAAGATCTTTGAACTCAGCCCCACAAGGGTTAACCAACTTATCATACCAGGAAAGGGAGATGCTACATTTGAGCTTTGGTCATGAAAATTTTCCAAATCGATCTCCTTCAAAGACTGATCTTAGCATCTTCTGAGGCATTAAACTACTTTAAAATTCAAATCAAACTTATCCTGAGTAAAAAAAAACAAAACACACTGAACATACAGCTCAGACTAACACACTGTACTTGGTTAATGTGAACATATGTAAATCTGCCAAGTTAAACCATTGTAATAAATGTACACCAGACATATTTACTAAATGGACAGGGGCTACAGGAACACCGCCTCACTGTATTAAACATTTTAGCGATCAGAGTGACATGTCTGACAATTTTTAATTTTTATTAAATCTATTAAACCTAAAAATTACAGTATCTAAACTTGGGAAAGTTGCTCAGAGATGAGTTACCTAAAACTGACCAATCAGCAGCTATTGTTCAGTTTTAGGTAACTCTGCTCTCCATATATCAGTTAAAAATATACAGTGCTGTGAAAAAGTGTTTGCATCAACACATCTGGCAGTAATCAGGCCTCGGTGTGACTACTGAAATTGAACTAAACTTTTGTGATTCAACAAGGTAGGTTTGGGAAGCTTTTTTTCTCTTACTTAAGGAAATCATCACTTTAAAAACTGTTTCACATTTTCTCAGATTATCGTTGTTTAATATTAAGATTTATCTGACAATATGAAACATGCAAGTGTGAAAAGAAATCAGAAAGAATTTTAAAGAGGGGTTTCTTTCGGTTTATCTGTACCGGCCTATATTGGCCGTAAAGGTCGAGAACTGAATGTAAATTCAGATTATCATTGTTTTACGTAAATTTTTGTTAATCTGAAACATGTAAGCGTGATATTTATTTTGAAGCTTTATTATTAGTTTTAAAAAAGGCTTTTTTTCCCTTTTTTTAAAAAGCATTTTATCCATGCGTTTCATATGCATCTCAAACTCTGATAATTACACTTATACATAAATGACTTACTTGATGCCAACTTTCTGGTTAATGAATTTACCAGACAGCTTCTCCTTCCTGTAAGCCAGCTCCTAAAGTGTAAACCAAAAATCAAGAGACAAGAATTAAGAGCCATTCCAAGAAATTAGTGTCACATGTGTCACATTTCGGATAACTGTGGGTGATACAGTACTGGGTATATGCAGGTCTTGCCATCTGGGTACACCACTTCAGCCTCCTCTACCCTGAGGGAGAAAGAAGAAAACATCACACTAATTGTAATATTCAATGAAGTCAAAGCCGGGCTGAATTTAACAACACAGACAGACAAGAAGTCGGTGAAATAAAGTACAGCTTGTAGACGGGCTTTTAAAATGATATCCAGTAAACTGTGACAGCTGTTGGCAAACAGCTGCTGTCACATCACACAGCAGAGCATGGTAAAAAGTGAAAATATGACTCACTGCTAATGTAAACCTCTACAGCACTATACTACACAGTCAACAACATGTCCACTTCAATCCAGAACAAGCATAAGTGACCTGACATCCCATTTACTGTCTGCCTGCAAACAGCAAAGCCAGCATTTCAGGAAGACGTGACATACGTGAAAGGCTGAGCACAATACTCGCTGAACATGGTCACCATCATGTCCAACACAGTCTTCGCCTGTAGGAAACGTGATCAAGTTAAAGTCAGTTTCTCATGACAGTGGTGATAAGTGACAGATTTATTGTTTTCTTCTCTCAACTGTACCTTGGTCTGGTCTGTCGCTGTGCACTCAATGAAGACATTTTTAGTCTTCAGGGAGATTTTTGAATGGTCCCCTGAAACAAACGGCACTTCATTTTACTGGAAACATTTTAAGAAGCGTTACTACTTTCCTAATTTAATCTTCTCTAACTATAGACCCTGAGCATTTCTGAACTAAATATATTAATTGTATACTGTGTAATCTAATCTAACACAAATTTTCCAATAAAAAAAAAAAA